CAATGCATGTATTCTTCTACAGTACTCCTTATTTACTGTCCAACTTTCACATGTGTATGATGCAATGGAAAGTACCATGGCTGTGTGAGGTACACCTTACTGCTCTGATATATGTTGGGGCTCCTCTGGTATTCAACATTTTCTGGTTTTTCTTTTTTCCATATTGGGGTTTATCTCTGATGTATTTTGTCAATGGGGATAGCCCTCTTGAATTTTTGTTGCATGTTTTTTGGTGTATGAAACCCAGGATTGGTGAACCTACAGAGGCAACAGGTGAAAGGGTGGGTAAAGGGGAGCTGATATCGAGGAGTTCAAGAAGGAAGAGAATGTTTAGAAACCAACTGTGGTAGGAATTGTATAATACCGCTTGGTGTAATGAAACTACAGAATGATATGCTATCTGGATTAGTTCGCAATAAAATTGTTTGAGAAAAAAATTCAAAATACAGTTAAAAGGCTGAGGGTTAAAGATCAAAGTTCAGAATATACTAGACGGAAAAACCCTGAATATATAAAACTCATGGTGGAAATCCCAGGGGACTACATTTAAGACATTCGCTAACTCAGAAATAAATGACTTTTAAGAAATCTCACTGCCAATGAATCCATTCTGAACTCATGGCAACGCTACAATCTTAGAAACCTGTAAATCTATGAGATTAGAAAGCCTCATCTGTCTCCTGAAGCGGGTAGTGGTTTCAAACAGCCAAACTTGGGAATCACAGGCCAATTTGTAAGCATTGTGCTGCCAGGGTTACTAGAGGTAAATAAAGTCTTAGCAAAACTGTAATTAGATTAATGTCAGTTCTCATCTCTAGCTGCCTTACGGAGGAAAGTATGGAGCTTTTCTCGTGGGAAATAAACTATTTTCACGCACAACAATATTTTTATACACTGTTCTGGCTAAGTGCAGCTGCGGTGATAGTTTGTGTGTCAACTTGGTTGGGCCAGGATTAACAATGTTGGCAACTGAGACCCAGGAACCACTATAAATAAGCTAAAAGATAATAAATACATTAGCATAGAATGTGAATGTGGAAATTTGAAGGCAAACTTTTCAAATGTCTTTTACATTGTATGAGAAAATGTAACATTAATTTGCATTAATCTTAATAGGTCAAGAATATGTTGCAATTTTAAATATAGTCACTTAAAGGAAGTATAAAATAACCTATTAAGAAAAGAAAAAAAGCTCAACAATTGTCTGTCTGTTTGTCATACTGTAGTGGCTTATGTGTTGCTGTGATGCTGGAAGTGATATCACTGGTATTTCAAATACCAGAAGGGTAAACCAAAGTGAAAAGGTTTCAGCAGAGTTTACATAGAAAAATATATGCAGTATGAATCTAGGAAGGTGGGAAGTTTTCAAAAATGAATTAGAACACATAAAGATCAATAGCCTAGGCATTAGTAGGCTGAAAGGGAAGAGCATATTAGCCATATTGAATCATATGATCATATGGTTTATTTTGCCCGCAATGACAAATGGCATCACATTCACCATCAAAAAGGGCACTTGAAGGACATTTTGAAGTATAATTCTATCTGTAATAAGAAAAGATCTGCATACAAAGAAATACCGCAAGTACAACTATCATTCAAAACAAACCAAATTTATACACCCACCACAAAGGTAGGGAAGAAAGTGAGGCATTTTATCAAGATCTCCAGTCAGAAGTTGATCAAATATACAAGATACATTGATAATTATTGGAGGTTGGAATGCAAAAGGTGGAAACAAAAAGTAAGTGTCAGCAGTTGGAAAATATGGCTTTGGTGGCAGAAATTAAACTGAAAATAGCATGGTAGAATTTCAAAAGACGAATGTCTTCTTCATTGCAAAAATTTTTTCAACAACACACTACATGGATTTCTCCAGATAGAATCCACAGAAATCAAATTGACCACATCTACAGGAAGATATGATGGAGAAACTCAATATCAGCAGTTAGAATAAGGCCTAGTTCCAACTGTGGAACAGACCATCAATTGTCCATATGTGAATTCAGGCTTAAATTGAAGAAAATTAAAATAAGTCCACAAGAGCTAAATTAGAACCTTGGGAATATCCCCTAAATTTAGACATTTTTAAAAAATCATTTTATTGGGTGCTCATACAACTCTTATCACAATCCATCCATCCATCCATTGTGTTAAGCACATTCCTACATTTGTTGCCATCATCATTCTCAAAACATTTGCTTTCTACTTGAGCCCTTGCTATCAGCTCCTCATTTTCCCCTCCCTCCCTGACCCCCCTCCCTCATGAACCCTGACACACTGGACACTAATGACAGAACATCATACATGAAAAAGGCCAAAGGTAATGAAAAAGGCAGGAAAGGAGGAAAACATCAAAGTGAATACCATAAGAGACTCTTACACTTAAATCACAGAGCGGCTAAGGAAAATGAAAGAAACGGTGATGGCCAAGAACAGAACAGAACAGAACTGGCCAAGAACTGAACAGAGATTTTCAAAGGGCAGCTTGAGAAGATAAAGGAAAGTACTATAATGAAAAGTGCAAAGATCCAGAGGAAGACACCCAAAAAGGAAGCACACACTCAGCATAAATCAAACTGAAAGAACTGAAGAAAAATGCAAACTTCAAGCAGCAATATTGTTAGATTCTACAGGCAATATGTGAAAAGATGCAGGAAGCCTCAAAAGAAGATAGAAAGAACACAGGTCACTCTCCCAAAAGGAACTAGTTGACATTCAGCCATTTCAAGAGGTAGCAGATGATCACGAACCAATGAGACTGAGGAAGAAATTCACACTGTACTAAAAGCATTAGCCAAAAAGAAGGCTCCAGGTATTGACAGACTAAGAATTGAAATATTTCAACAAACTAATGAAGCACTGGAAGCATTAACTTACCTATTCAAGGAAATTTAGAAGACAGATACCTGGCCAACTGATTAGCAGGGATCCATATGTGTACCCATTCCAAAGAAACAGGACTGCATAAAATGCTTATGTCATAGAATAACAGCACTCATATCACATGGAAATACATTTTTTTGCTGAAAATCAATCATGACAGGGTGCTTGCAGAAGTTCAGGCTAGATTCAGAAGAGGATGTGGAACTCCAGATACCATTGCTAATGTCAGATCTTGGCTGAAAGCAGAGACTATCAGAAAGATGTTTACTTATGTTTTATTGACTATGACTGTGTGGATCATAACAAACTATGAATAGCTTTAAGAAGAATGGGAATCCCATGACATTTAATTGTGCTCAGGAGCCCTGGTGGCATAGTGGTTAAGCATTAGCTGTGATCCAAAAGGTCAGCAGTTTGAAACCACCACTATCTACAAAGGAGAAAGACAGGGGCTTTCTACTCCTGTAAACAGTTACATTTGGGGAAATTCATGGGGAAGTTTTACTCTGGCCGGTAAGGTCGCTCTGAATCAGCATCACCTAGAAGGCAGTTGTTTGGTTTGGTGTGGTTTTATAAATTGTGCTCCTGTGGACCCTGTGCATGGATCAAGAGGCAGTTTGGGGGGAAGAACTAGGGAATACCACATGGTTTAAAATCATGAAAGGTGTGCATCAAGGTTATATCTTCTCACCATATTTATTCAATCTACATGCTTGTCCAATCAGAGAGCTGGACTATATGAAGAAGAGTAGGGCGTCAGCACTTGAGGAAGGCTTATGAACAAGCTTCAACAGGTAGATGGCACAGCTTTACTTGTGAGGCAGACTTGAAGCACTTGCTAATGAAGATGGCAGCTTTCAGTATGGATTACAACTCAATGGGGGGGGGGGTGCTCATAACTAAACCAATAGGTATCATAATGATAAATGGAGAAAAGATAGAAGTAGTTAGGGCTTTAATCGTGCTTGGATCCACAGTGAATATTCATGGAAGAATCAGCCAAGAAATGAAATGATGCCTCACAATGGGTAGATCTGCTGCGCATGGTCTCTTCAATCTGTCGAAGAACAAGGATGTCACTTTGAAGACTTCAGTGTACCTGACACAAGCCATGGTATTTCCAATCTCTTCACATGATGTGAAAATTTGGCATGGATTCTGGAAGACCACAGAATTAATACATTTGTATAGGAGTACTAGTGAAGAATATGGAAAGTACCATGAGCTACCAAAAAACCAAACAAATCAGGATTGGAAGAAGTACATCTAGAAGGGTCCTTGGTGGCAAGGGTGGCAAGATTTCATGTTACATACTTTGATAAAAACATGCTATCAGGAAAGACCAGTCCCTGGAAAAGAACACCATGCCTGGTAAAAAGCGGGGTGGTGAAAAAGGAGAAGATCCTAGACAAGCTGGATTCACACCATGGCTCTGACAATGGGCTCAAACATCAGAACTGTGAGGCTGGAGCAGGACTGGGCAGTGTTTCCTTCTGTTGTACATATGATCACTATGAATAACATCAACTAAGCAACAGGAAATCCTTGACAACTTCGGCCTTTTCTCCATGTATCATGATTTCATCTGTTATAAAGATTTGGGTTTTCTTTATATTGCGCTTGAATCCATACTGAAGGCTACAATCCTTCATCTTATAAATGCAGTTATGTTAACATTTAAAATATTGTCATTTGTTTTTCCTTTTGATATATTTTTAATTTGTTCTACTTTTTTTGGCATTGAGGCTTCTGTGTGTGTGTGGTTTTGGGGGGGCTGTCATTTTTTTGAATTTTTTGTATGATTTTCTTAGTATAAAATCCAAGATAGGTTAATCTGTACAGGCACTATCTAGATTAAAAGATCCTTAAGGTTATGGCAAAGTCTGTAGATAATGAGGAGCTAATAATAATATGCACAAGAATCAAGAGAATGTTCTAAAGTTGATTGTGGTGGTGATTGCACAACTCTTTTTAATATATTTAAGCCACTAAATTGCATAGTACCTAACTATATGTCAATTAAACTGTTATTTAAAACATATTTAACAGGATACTATTGGTTTCATTTCTTTATATGGGCTTTGTAAATATATACAGTACGTTTCTTTAAAAATTAAAAAACCCTCTAGATTCCTTATCCCTCAAACTTAAATAGTGGCCTAAATGGCTTAACAAAAAAAGAGAGAGAGGGAAAAATAAAATGGAAATGACTTGGAATCTTTAGTGACAAACAAGTTCATCTCAAACAAGTAAACAAAATAATAAATAAAATCATGATTAAAATTTTTGGCAAACTAGGAAATAAATGAAAAATTGCATAAATGAAAATGAAATAAAATCACAGTAAATGTCCTAATCAGTGGTAAAATATTAAAAGTAATTACTTTGAGATAAGAAATCTGGTAGCACAATACAATTTCTCTTCAAATGGATGTTTCCGGCAACGTGGTATAAGCCAGAAATAATACAAAAAGTAAAATAATTAGAGGCTAGGAAGAGACAAGCTGACATTATTCACAGATGTCATAATTGTTCTTGAGGAAAATACAAAAGAAATTAATAATTAATCAATAGAATAACATTTAACAAGAATTCTCATCCCTTAGTAAAGCAAATCTAAAAGAGCTAAAGTATTTATTTATTAAAATTACAGAATGTTATATAATTAAAATGCCTAAAAGGCACCATTTACAATTGAATTTTACCATTCAAGGGTTTAAAAATATAATAAAATATGCATGAGACTACCCTGCCAAAAATGGAAAAACGTCAGAAAACTTAAAAATTTCATTTGAAATGAAATTCACTCCCACAGAATTGTGAAGCAATCTTAAAATGAAGGTAAGCATTTGAAGATGCAACATAAGATGCTCAAAGACATTTTTTAAAAGAAAGATCCATTTAATTTTAATTAGAAAACATAGCTGTGGACCATATTAATTTTTACTCTTATGCCAAAAGATACAATAAGTAATATTTTCAGTACAATACAATAGATACAATATAACCATTTCCATAAAGATATTATGACATACCAAGTCATATAGTTTTAGGAATACCCATAAAGACTTGATATTAGGTTGTAAAATAGCATTTGGGTCTTCGCATATTACCTGATACTCGGCAGGCCCAGGAACAGCAAGAGCTTCCTTCTGAACCAGAATCAGAGTCCGAGGAACAGAAGATCCAAAGGCACTGTTCTTTTTGTTGCCCAAGCAGATATTTTTGACATTATCAGCTATAGTGCTGTTTAGGACATTATAAAACCCAGGACCTAAAAAAGTGTTAAGATTACAAAAATGAGAATAAACAAGCCTTTAACTACCTCTTTTAAACTAAAAAAATTTAAACGAACTAAATTTTTAGATAGCACACCAAGGAAAGTACTGAAATGTGGGTATGTAAGGCTGACGTTGCACAAGTGGACCAGTTAGTATAATAATGCAACTGCATTGTTGAGCAACTGGATAAATTAGAAATTAAATATTTTTATCAATTTACTTTAGCTAATTTAGACAAGGGAAGAACTGTAGCAGCAGACTCTTACATCTGGAGAAAAAACGAAATGCACACAAAAGGAAATGAGAACAGAATAAATAATTTTCACTACAAAGAAACCCCAAATATACATGAAAGGAAGGAATTCAAGCAAAGAAAGGCTTAAAAAGGTATCAGATACACAGAAAAAAATTCAAATAACAGTCCTTTTTCAATAATTGCAAAATGTATTGATTGGCCAGATATACTTGCTATGCTAAAACACAGTTCAATGGTATATTATCTAGCAAACATCCATTATTAATCAAAACAAACATCCATTATAAATCATTTGAAGGAGATTCCACACAAGCAGACACCATAAGAGATGGTAGATAACGATATAAATGTCAGACAAAATAGATTTTTATGAATGAACTATTATAAGGAGCAGAGGATATTTTACAAGGATAAAAGGGTCATTTAATCAAGAACAGAAAACCTTAATGTAAAGGTACATAATACAAAATCCCAAAGTAACACATATATGTTCATACAAAAGAAAATTAGAAAATGTACTAAAAAAAAGAAAAATAGTAGAAAGCTACAATTAAGATGAATGATAGATTGAAATCTTACTAAAATAAGGCCCTAAAATTCAGAATCTTTGTAACTCCCACAAAATGACTGAGTGGAGCATTAAGATAAGGTGTCGAAGTCTCTAACTCAGGGACTGGTCAGTGCTGGCATTCTGCTGGGGATCAGCGCAAGTTATCTCAGAAGCAGGAGCAGACAATCCCACAATTATCTAGGAAACAGTCACTGGCTGACTGCTTGTGAGATCCCAGCCTGGGGTGGCTGAGGCAGCAGAGGCTGCCGCACTGAGACCATGAGACAGAGCAGAGTAGCAGTGCTGAGGCTGTGAGGCAAAGCAGAGGGGCAGGTGGGTTTCCTGGTCCCTGGAATGAGGCAGACACCAAAGGGAACCTGTGTCCAAGAGTCTGCCCCCATGGCTGAAGAGTGCTGTAGACAAAAGACAAGTATCCTTAAGATTTCAAATCCCGTCATTCCTAATAAACCTTATAATATGAGAACTGTCCTTTCATTCTCTGTGGTCACTGCAATCAATGATCAAACCCAGCAGAGAAGTGGAGTGCTTTGAAAGGGACGACTGGTGTCAGAATAGGATAACGAAGCACAGAGAGTGGCTCCATGTCTGACCTCTGCCTTACACAGGATTCATCTTTGGGCAGATATGGAATTGGATTCAAACCCCTGTCGCCAGAAGTCAGATGTGACCCCCATGCCATTTCTTCACTTTTTATACTTGGTATCATTGTTGTTGTTTTTGCTGGTGCTAATAACACAGTTATAACTCATAGTGACCCTATGTACAACAGAATGAAGCACCGTCCTAAACAAGGCTCACAATTGTTGTTAATGTCTGAGCCCATAATTGCAGCCACTGTGTCAGTCCATCTCAGGAGAGCCTTCCTCTTGTTAGCTGACCTTCGACCGAGTGTGGTACCTTCCTCCAGAGACTGGCCACTCCTCATAAAATGCCCCCAGTACATGAGACCAAGTGTCGCCGTCCTCATCTCTAAGCAGCATTCTGATCGCAGTTCTTTCAACACAGATTTGTTGGTTCTGGCACCCCAAAGTATTTTCACTATTCTTCACCAACATTGTTTTTTTCACCAACATTGTCATTTAAAATGATCAATTCTTCCCCAGCTTTACTCATTCATTGTCTGGTTTTCACATGCATATGAGGCGAATGAAAATACCACAGCATGGGTCAGGTGCACTTGAGTCCTCAAAGTGGATTCTTCCCTTTTTAACAAGTTAAAGATGTCTTGTGCAGCATATTTGTCCAATGCAATATGTTCTTTGATTTCTTGACTGCTGCATCCATCAATGTTGATTGTGGATCTGGGTAAAATGACATTCTTGAAAACTTCAATCTTCTCCACTTATCAAGATGATGTTTTTCCATCCAGTTATGAGATATTTGTTTCCTTTTACCTGGAGGTGTAATGCATACTGAAAAGCTGTAGTCTTTCACCTTCATCAGTGTTTCAAGTACTCTTTATTTCCACCAAGTAAGGTTGTGTTATTGCATATTACTGGTTATTAATGAGCCTTCCTTCTATCCTGATGCCATATTCTTTTTAAATTTATTTAAGCTTCTCAGAGTATTTGCTCAGCATACAGACTGAGTAAGTAGTGACAGGAGACAACAGTGGCAAACACCTCTCTTGATTTTAAAGCACTCATCTTTTTGAACAGTTGTCTCTTGAGCCACATTCAAGCTCTGCGTGAACACAAGGAGGTGATCTGACATTCTCATTCTTCACAATATTGTCTATGGTCGGTTATGATCCACACAGGTGAATGTCTTTTAACAGTCAGTTTTTTTAAGAAAAATTACCTACCCTTGAGTCAATTCCTACTCATGGCGCCCCTATAGGACAAGATAGAATTGCCTCTTGGGGTTCCCAAGACTGCAGTTCCTCACAGGAGTAGACAGCTGGTGGTATGGTTTCAAGCTGTTAACCCGTGGCTAGCAGCCCAATGCATAACCATTATGCCAATAGAGCACCCTTTCTGGTATTCTTTGCTTTCAGGCAAGCTTATCAGACATCAGAAATTATATGTACCACTTCATAGCTTTTTCTGAACTCGGCCTGAATTTCTGGCAGCAAAGTCAGTGCTAAAAGAAAATGCATTAGCTTAAAATGGCAACAATAACTACATATATAGAATAATACCCCAAACTACTTCTTTCTCTGATAAAACCAACTCATTAAGGATTTAAGTTACATAAAGTGGAAATTTATGGGTAATTGCTAACCAGGCATTTCCTCTGTCTCGAATTCTTGGGTGAATCGAGCAGCAGTTTGCCCAAATGCAGACATTTTCAGGCCTGGAGTTTTCTTTGAGGACTTGATAGTGCTTTGAGGTACATTGTATGTGCCAGGTGCTGGTGTGATTGATTTCATAGGAACAAATCTCTAGGAAAAATAGAGAAAAATATGCTAGTGAAAAATATGCTAGTATATTTTAAGATTTCATGAGTTAAAAGCTGCTACCTTAGTCATATTACATCTGGAATTTAATTGACATCTTAATGCAGTGAATGAATTCATATTTTATACCCATCAACCCATAAAATAAATAGCTTTTAGTAATATTACCTTCATAGTAACATGGTAGTACATTATGTACATTACTGACAGAGGAAATCATAACATGCACATCTAAATGATAATATATGAACAGTTTTTCAATTTAAAATGTTTTTTCTGCAAGTTAAAATAAGAAGTTAAAAAGTATAATACATATGTCATGTACATAAAAGTACATGATATAATGTTATCTTTTAGGTAATAAAATGAGTTCATAGAATTCCTAAACATATGTATTAAATTAGCTCATGAATATATCAGTAACTGCCTTAATAAATCTAAATCTTATATTGAAATAGTTAACATATCCAATTTTTAAAAACACACGTGTGTGCACACATGCACACACACACAGATTCCTGGGCCTAAATTTAAACAAATTTAATCAATTTCTAGGGGAGAAGAGAAAAGACAGTTGTAACCTGGGTATTAGAATGTTTTAAAATTCCCCAAATGTTTCCAATATACAGCCAAGATGCAAACCTGTGTTACAAAGATAATCTTTTCTTTTAAAAATCCATTTTTGGAGATATAAGGAAACTTTAATACATATAGAGATAAAGTACCACATAACTCCTTAAATTAATGACTAAAATAAGTATCCCAAAACATAATCTGCCTCTATTCTTACATACCATAAATTCTGTATTTGATATTCATCTTCTTGCTTTAACTGTTTTCTGTCACAACCACTAATGTCTGTTCATACTCATCTAAACACAAACACTATGTAGTTTCATCAGTCCTGTTTGGTTTTAATAGTTTCACGGCTTTCACTTCCAAACTATTATGCTTTTCTCTGTCCTTCCCATAAGCAAATGGATATTATCTTCCCTTCCATTTCTCAAAACTATTTAAAATACCTGCATCAGTGCTGCAATGCGGTGAATTATTTAATAAGACTCTTCTAGGCAGAGCCTCTGTTACGTTTTCCAAGTGACCTTCATGTTCCTAAGGGATCTGAGTAGGAAGAAGGTGAGGGGAGATACTGATTGGGTTAAATGATTCAGCTGTGAGTGATAGTGAGCAGGGTTAATTGTGATCATCATCCTGTTGAGTATAAAATCAGACATCCAAAATGTAGGCAGAGGGAAATTTCACTACCAGCAAGAAAGAATAGCCAGTAGTGGGGTATGTCACTTGGACCCCGAGATCCAGGACATAGCTTTGACATCAGAGGAGCAGCAGATGAGAAGCAACCGCAGAACCAGGAGTCGGAGCGTTAGCGAGAGCAGTTGATTTCCCACTCCACAGAGCAAGGAAGCTGAGTGCTTTGGGGCAGAAGGCTGGCTTGGGGTAGGGGCGAGGGGCAGGGAGGCAGGGGTGTCCTGGGCATGTAATTTGGAGCGCTAAGGTTTGCTGATCCATGCAGGTGGAGCTGAGTGCCTTTGATTTGAGGCTTAAAGAGGAGTGGCCTGCACTTTGGACGTTCATTGGCAGCTCTGTAACATCGCCTGACCAGGGCAGAGGCTCTGCCAAGTGACTGAGTGCCAGAGAAGCCTGCCTATAGGCACAGCAGAGAAGAAACTCTCCTGACTGAACAACTGTATCCTGGACATTTCTCACCTGAATCATAACATGTGAACTTCCCTGATAAACCATATAGTCATGAGCATTGTCCAGGAGGTCTGTGTGGCCATTGCTGTGAATTACAGAAACCAGATGAAAAGTAGTCCTATAGGAGGTGCCGTTTGTCTCGGAATCGAGTTCAGAAGCATGGAGGGTGGTGGCATGTCTGATGTCTGCCTTGGCCTTGTGGCAAACAGATGCTAATGATGCCAAAGTAGGATTATATATGAGGTGTACAGAAATAACAATTGCCACCGTTCTAATTATAAAAATGATATTAAGAAGGTATACTGAATGCACATATTCTGTCTCCACAAATCAGCCATGTGTAGTATAGTGAATAGCATGCCCACGCATGGAATTGGTCAACGGAGAAATCTGGTGTTCATTTTTAATCCCTCCTCCAGGCCCTTAACACCACATCTAGCACATTTTTAAAAATCATCATATTTCCAAAACAGACATGCAATTATCTACTCTGCAATACATATACTTGTTTCCAAGGAAGTGCCTCTTAAGTACAAAGAAGCAAAGCAGTCACTTACAGTGACCAGAAAGTGGATAAGTTTCCCAAGCCAAATAAAATAATCAGAGCTATACATAAGACAGGTGGTAAATATCACAACTACTTTGTCCTGGAAGCTGGTAGTACTGTAATTGTTTGGGCTTAAAAACCTCTTACTGCCTTCAAGTTCCCTAAGAATGTGTCTTGAAGCATAGGACAGAGTTTCTATGAGATGGCATCACTCTCAGCACCACTAGCGAGACTCCCACGGACACTTACAAATAGGACCTGAAGCGAAGCTCTACAGGACAATTCAGAACTTCCTCTGGAAGGTCTGCATGTCCTCAGAGATTGCGTGTCAGCACACCACACATTCAGTGATATGGATATTTGAAAATGCACACTGAAGTAGACTTTCCCCTACGCAATTTTGCTTCATAGTAAGTGCTTAATAGTTTCAATTCTAGTGTTCATATTTGTGTATTATTTTTAATATGCTGATATTATTTTACTTAGCTTTAAGCAAAATTTTTGACAATATGATTTATCCAGGCTCTTTGTGTTCCCAATTTTCTAACTATCCCTAATAGTTTTATAATATCCCTAACTACCATGAGATTTTCTGCTGCCTCCACATTATGCCCACTGTAATCTGCATATGGAAATGTCTGTGGACCATTACCTGGGATTGAGAAAGAAAAGCAGGGGATGCTTCATTTGCATCTGGTGTCATACTTTCAGTCTTCTGAAATTGACTTTTAATGTCATACCTTCCAGGCCCAGGTACTCCCTACATTAGAGAGAAAGAAATGCATGTTCTCATTAAGAAAGAATCTATAGTGCATAAGGGAACAGTTGGCTAAATATCTGAACAAAATCTACAGGGTTTTAAAGCATATCCCTATATGGTATTGCCAATGCACTTCATTAAAAGGGAAGCCAGAACAAAGTTCTTTAGAGTAACACACACGCACGCACATACACACACACACACACACACACACACACACAGAACTGAGCCTGGCTAACACACTATCTGAAACTTTGCTGCCCTCTACTGATCGATCCCAGAAAATTTTCATTCAATTCTACACAATCAAATATTACAGCAAAGAAATAAAAATGAATTGTATATTTCTTTTATTTCAAATAATACAACCAACTTTCCCCTAGTCCTGATAGCGTAGTAGAGAATGAGTTGGGCAGCTACCCACAGTTCAGCAGTTTGAACCCACCAGTAGCTCTGTGGGGGGGAAATGAGAAGCTCTTCCCACCCCTGTAAAGAGAGCCAGTCACAGAGACGCACCAGGGCAGTTCTACGCTGTCCTACTGAGCCATATGAGTCAGAATCAAATTGATCGCAGTGAGTTCTGACAGTATTTTTTACTATCTTTTCAAAGTCCAGTTCATCAATAGTCTGTTTTCACCCCCCAACGAATAGTCTTCAGATAGTATTTTAGATACAAATGTTAGAAGATATGTTACCAGGCTTTCAGCTAGATACTTTACAATAAGTAAAAATCTAATCAATAATTCCTATAATTTTGACTAGATTATAAATCTATCAAGTTGTGCTATTTACTCATCAACAAATATTTTACAATAATTGCCTTGGTACTATTTTTTATAAAAAGAATTTTAAAAAACCTTTCATATCACATATACCTCCCTTTTCTAGAGTTGAAAGAACTATTCCTTAATTTATAAATTAAGTACTTGTGTTATAAATTAGATGTACAAGAAAATTCTATTAGAAAATTCAGCCCAATATCCCATGATGTTTATCTCCAATACCACCCCTTCACTCCCCCAATGTGCATTAGTGAAACGCCTTCTAACCCTCTCCCTGGCCTTTATCCACTTTCTGTGCATTCCTGTCAGCTCTCTATTCAGCATCACCTTTTCAATGAGGACATTCTGGGTCAACCAATCTAAAATTCCATTGCCTCCTCCAAGCAATTCCTGTTCCTTGTCACACTTTACTTTAAAAAGTTATTATTCATTACTAGCCAATATGTTGGATACTCTACGTTGTAAGCTCCAATAGGACATGTTTTGCTTTAGGTTTTTTTGTTTTTGGTTTATGTTTGACTCACTTCTGTGTATGCAGTGTATGGAAGAGTCCCTAGAACATAGAGGCACTCAGTATTGAAGCACAAAGGGGCACTCCGCTGAGTGAGTGGATAAACGGGTCCATGCATACATGGCATCCCATGTTTTCACAGACTACATTATGTCCTTGAAGCTAGATCCCTCTAGAAACTGATGTGGTTCCAAATTAGAGCATTAGCCATTTCTAATTGTGGCAAAACATCTTTAAAAGCATTTCTATTTTAGCAGTAATAATTTGGAAAAACACACTTCAAAAGGAACTCTTGTACAGAATTTCCTCTTAAAAAATAAGATAGACTCTGAAAGGGTATACACAGACCCCTGTGTTCTTCTCTGAAATGAACAAATGCTTTCCTTTATGCAGTAACTGAACAAAAAAGAATTTTGACCATTGGCTATTAGTAACTTACAGTTACAGGAAAACAAACCTGCACACACCTGCAGTTATATACACCTATGGGGGGGGGAAAAATATATATATATATAAATTTGGAGATCACAACTCCATATGTAAGATGCCAATCTGTATAGATAACTTCATGGCTACACTATACCCCTCTTGTCCATCAAAGGATAGCATGATCCAAAGAGTAGGTACTGATGAACTGGGCTTACTGCCCTACTGTCTTCCAGAGTTGTACAAAGTGGTCAGTTGTCTGGATCCAAGGAAAAAGAAATTAAGGACAATGGGATAAGTCTCAAAGGAACTGTTTTGAAATAAAGCAGAAATGACATTTTAAACCACCCTTCAACAAATACTTCATTTTCTTTTTCATGAAATTTCTAGTGTTACTGCACTTTTCTTCATTAAAGCAAGACATTAAAAATGGGCCCTTGCCTTTGAAAAGCTAGGCTTAGGATAAACTATCTCAAAATAAACATCAAAATTGGTCTATGAAACATTGACCAATAAAGAGCAACTCTCTGTTTTGATGAAATTAAGACAGCAAAAAAATTGTGAAGATCAAGCCCTACATAGTTTGGAATGCTCTAATGTTTATCCTGCATTTTCAAATTATGATCAACAGGCCACCTGCCTTAATATCAACCTATTAATTATATCTTGCTCTACTTGTACCTTGTGTATCAGAATCTTGTTGGTTCAGGAACCAGTGTTTTTTAAACAAGTCTCACTAGATAATGTTCATGCAAAGTTAAGAATCACCACCATAGTTCAAAAGGATTCACAGGGATAGCACATCCATCCTCAGACCATGAGAGTGTTCTGTTTTGTAAACAGAGGTGGAATTTTGAGGTACATTGTAATTGACACATTTTAATTGTGATACTGGTGTTGAAGGTACCATGGACTGCCAAAAGAACACACAAATCTGTCTTGGAAGAAGTACGGTCAGAGCATCCCTTAGAGACAGGACAGTGAGACTTCGTCTCATGTACTTTGGAAACAGTGTCAAGAGCAATCAGTCCCTAGAGAAGGACATCATGCTTGGTAAATAGAGGTGAGGCCAAAAAGAGGAGTGTCCTTGACAAGATCAATCAACACAATGGCTGCAAAAATGGGATTCCCATAAGAATAATGATGGGATGGTACAGGACTAGGCAATGTTTTGCTCTGTTGTACTTAGGGACAGATGCCAAGAGTCAGAACTGACTCGGTGGCAACTGACAACCACAACAACATTGTTTATACCATGATCATATCTTTTGAATCTGCAGTGTAAGGAAAACGCTGCTGTTTTTACAGGCTGTCAAGTGGCATCATATCATACAATCTCCCACTGCTTAGACATAAGCTATTCAGTAGATAGGCCCTCAGAAGTGGACCACATCCTCTTCTTCCCAGTCTGTCTTTGTCTGACAGCTCTGCTGAAACCAGCCCACTCTGAGTAAACCCACTAGTAATTGAAATAGTGGTGGCATGTGCATTTCAGCAGCACACAAATCAGGATACTGCAACAAACTGACAGACAGATGGCGGATCTAGGCATTACTGAGATGAGGTACACTGCTATTGGCCAATGTGAATCAATAATTACCTGGTCTACTAGACTAGGTTTTCAGTAACTGACAACGTTTCAGTGCTATCCAGAGGGTTTCAATGACTAATTCCTCTGAGTTGACAACTAATGTCTTCTTCTTAGTCTGATCTTAGTCTGGACGCTCTGCTAAAAGCGGTTCGCTCTGGGTGACCCTGCTGGTGTTTCAAATCCTAGTAACATCGCCTCCAGCATCTCAACAACACACATGCCACCAAAATATGACAAACTGACAGACAAGTGGTGGAGAAACTGGATGATACAAATGAGGACAGAGAACAAAGAAGGGCTATTAACACCCTGTAATATGCAGATGACACAACAAAAACGAGAACTGGAAGCACTTGCTGATGAAGATCAAGGATTGTAGCCTTCAGTATGGATTACTACTCAGTGTAAAAGAAAACCCCAAACCTCACAAATGGATAGCATCATGATAATTGGAGGGAAATGAAATTGTCAAGGATTTTGTCTTGGTTGACTCTACAATCAATGCTCATGGAAATATCAGTCAAGAGATTAAATGACGTATTACCTGAGGGAAATCTGCTGCACGAGACCTCTTTAAAAGGTTGAAAAGTAAAACTGTTACTTTCAAGACTAAGGTACTCCTGACCCAAGGTCTATTGCCTCATATGGATGTGAAAGTTGGATGTTGACTAAGGAAGACCGACGATAAGTCGGTTGAACTATACTGCTAGCAAAGTGCTAGAATATTGAAAGTATCATGGACTTCCGAAAGAAAAAATTCTGTCTCGGAAGAAGTACAACCAGAATTCTTTAGAGGCAACGATGGCATTTTCAATCCCCTCATATGCATGTGCTAGCTGGACACTGAATAAGGAACACTGCAGAATAGGTGCATTGAACTGTGGTGCTGAAAAAGAATAGTAAAAGTACTATGGACTGCTAAAAAGACAAACTGATCTGTATTGGAAGAAATAAGGCCAGAGCTCTGTAGAGGCAAGGATGGGGAGACTTAGTCTTACATACTTCGGACATATGTTCAGGAGACCAGTCCCAGGAGCGAGACATCATGCTTGGTAAAGTGGAAGGGCAGAAGAAAAGAGGACAGTCTTCCACAAGACGCAAGATGAATGGACAAGTGGCCACAATGCACTCAAACCCAAGAACAACTGGGAGGATGGCACGGGACCAAGAAGTGTTTCGTTTGGTTGCACACAGGGTCACGATGAGTCGGAAGTGATTTGATGGCACCTAACATCAACGATTATGCCTGGAATGATAACTTGAAGAGGAACAGTATGGAAACAGTCATCAAAAAGAACATTTCAGAAACTATCCTGAAATATAACAATTAGTGACATAAAAACATTCATGTACCTAAAATGAAGGCCAGTTCATATGAGTTGTATTCAAATTCACACACGAACCACTAATGCTAAAGATGAAAAATCTAAAGGTTTTTATCACCTTCTGTAGTCTGAAATTGGTCAACCATACAATCAATATGCATTTATAATTACTGTTGATTGGAATGCAAAAGCTAATACCCTGTTTCCTAAAAAATAAGATAGTATCTTATATTAATTTTTGCTCCCAAAGATGTGCTAGGTCTTATTTTCAGGGGATATCTCATTTTTCCATGAAGAAGAATATGGTACACATTCATTGTTGAACAAAAAAAGGAAATTTATTGTTTGTATATGGTACAGTAGCT